ATTATTTACGACCTCAAGTGGAACAGGTACTTACGATCCATTGCTAAAGGTACAGCAAAAATCGTCGGTTCCTTGTACCCCTCCAGTAAGTACCTGACTTCTCATGCTTTCCATTTTCAGTACGAAATTGACCTACTGTTTTCATATTTGGGAGAGTGTTGCCCACTTCTCATTTTCCAGTCTCGACAAAAAAGCGTCTTCGAATTTTTGTCTGTGACAAATTATTTTCCATCTTCTAACCTCTCTCTCTCTCTCTCTCTCACGGGCGGAATGTGGCAAGTCCCTCACAGGTCTGTCGCTACTTCCATGGAAAATGCGCGGCCAAACTGCAGTAGTTGGTTCCGCCACTTCCAACTATCACGGCTAGGACACACCATGTCTCACTTACATTGTAGAAAACCATCCACATTCCCTCCGTATTCCAAGAATGAGAAGTAAGTTCCACTCGAAAAGCTTCTTCCTGCGAACCAACGCTCTGCGGAACCAACTCTCCAAGAAGATGTTTTCCCGATCAATAAAAAAAGAAGAAAATCAATTGATTGTGAAAGAAAACAATATGTCTTTTCTTTTCAAATTTTTTTTTTACTGCACTTTTTTTTTTTATTATTAATTCTGTTTTCTTATATGAATCGAAACCAGCTTCTCTAGATTCATAGTGAAAAGAAATAGAGAAAATATATGAAAGATGGAGGGGGAAGTAGCATCCGTTGTTAGATGGAAAAGTTCTTACTACTATTACTACTACTACTACTACTAATAATAATGTATTTGTTACGTACTACTGTTTAATTTTTAAATATTTGTTCATTGCTAGCTACATTTATTTATGCATTTGTAATCTTGCTGTAAAAAGAAGAAGAGGAGTGCTAGAGAGAAACTGAAAATAAAAGAATGCCTCGAAGTGGGCTGTAAATGTTCTTTGAAAAGAATATATTTTTTGTTTTTTTATCTGGCTGACTTATGCGAGAAACGTGGATAAGATAAATAGCGTTATTAAATGAGAACAAAGGCATATATTACCCAGCTTCAGAAAACAGAGAATTAATTTTCAAGATTTATTTTAGATAAAAAAAAAATGAAAATTTAAAGAATTGCATTCTCGATAGCGAGAACAAATTTTTATGTTTATCTGATTGCATTGAATGGAAATAATTCAGTTTGGGGGCATTTTCTGTCTACTCATCATCCAAATCGGAATATCTTAAACGATGAGTGCAGTCCAGCGTCAAAAGAAAAAGCAGCATCAGGTTAGGTTTAAGGCTCCAAGTTATCTCCTCAGGATTGTCCCACGGGACAAAAGTGTATTGAAACTAGAAAAAATTCCAGTTTAATCTCGGGACCGGAAAATATGTACGTGGACTCAATGGAAAAAGACTGAGTTGTACTATCAAAGAAATTTAACGAGATACCCATAGACATGGACATTGTAACGAGAATAATCTAAATCCCTTGAAGGTTACACAGATTACCTGATGAAAGTCGGAGAGCATACCGGCCGAATGTTGTGACGATAATAATAAAAATGAGGTCAAAAGTTGACATGTAAATAATGATAACTCCTCTTAATAGTAATCTATATATATATATATATATATATATATATATATATATATATATATATATATATATAAAGTGAACATAGAAGTCAACACTTAGAGGCCTCTAAGTGTTGACTTCTATGTTCACTTTTATATTTACACACGCTCTATCTCTGATATCGAGCACTTTATCCCATAAATATAGCACACCTTAAGACTATATTTCTTCATATATATATATATATATATATATATATATATATATATATATATATATATATATATAATAATAAAAAGGCTTAAACATTAATATTCCATGGTCATAATTTATTCCATTGGAATTGTAAATACGATCCAATTCATCAGACCTACAAATTCAAAAAGAAAACTGAAAAAAACAACTCCGGTAATAAAAAATAAAATTTAGTGAGAGAGTATGTAAGAGAGTGTGAACGAATGTTAGAGTAAACGAAAGGTACAGGGAGGGGTAACAGACAAGAGAAGAACAGGAAGGTCTAAAGATGAAGTGGGGATTAAAATTTAACAGAGAGAAGTTTTAAAGAGGGGAGTCAAAGACGGTTTAAGTGAGAACAATATGAATATTCTCGGATCTCTAATATATATATATATATATATATATATATATATATATATATATATATATATATATACATATAAATATAGATAACTAGACTCGTTTCGAAAAAACCCTCGAATTTTTGATTTGCTAATCAAATCAATCTCGAGGGAAAAAAAGGTTTTAAAAAAAGAAAGAGCTACAAACATGGACTTCTGCCGACAAAAAAATCGCACAGATGCAGGTCTGAAGCCCAAAGAAAAAACCCCGATACGAGTAACAACTAACTAACAAAAGAGCTCAATACAACCGTAGAGCAGACCTAGATACACTTAGTGAGCCAGACAAACCTACCTAGGTTTCACCTAAACGGATCGTCAGGGAAAGTTTGGCAAATTATTAGGTAGCTATCACTAATATTTTAACAATTCTCTTCATATGTGCGTTTCACTTATTTATGGCAATAAGTTGATGAAAATTTGGTGCATGCGTGTGTGTGTGTTTGGATGTGTATGGGCGTCCTTATAGGCTAAAAAGTCACAATGTAAAATATACTAGTATGTATACTTATATATATATATATATATATATATATATATATATATATATATATATATATATATATATACACTTTAAACAGTTTTTGTAAAATTTTACAATGGATAAGTTAATTGTTTAGGTAGTTTCAACATATTTTTAAAAGTTATTGAATTTATTATAAAAAAACATTTGTCTGAAATTATTATGCAGAATTAACTAATCTAAGGTCTCTGAAATCTAATAAAAACTATTTATATATATATACATATATATATATATATATATATATATATATATATATATATATATATATATATATATATATATATATATATATATATATGAGATCTGAGAATATTCATATGCATACATGTTGCGAAGGTGAATTTTCGAGATTTTCTGCTTTTAATTTCGCGCATGCGCCTTTCTTGTTTTTGATTTTGCTGACTGCTCAGTATGGTAGTGTCAGTTGGTTACCGTCTGTGAGAAAAAGAGCACCATAACGCAATTCACTCAACCAGAAATTCTACACTGCATTGCATTAGCGTCGGAAGCTCCAATAAAAAAAAAATTCACAGTGTTTGGGTGTCAATCTGAGGGCAGTGCAGAGGAAGTAGTGCGGCTCTGGGTCAAGATGGTGGCTGCCGGAAGACCCTATATCCAGCAACAGGACTCTGCAACATGCCACACAAGCAGAAGAACCCTGTCATGGCAGTCAGACAATTTTTGCGGCCACGTCACCGCTTACATTTGGCCGCCTGACTCCACAGTCTGTAACAGTATTGGTTATTATGTGTGGGGCACAGTTGAGCGAGAGACCACCAAAAGTCCTTGTAACACCAAAGATGAACTGAAAGCAAGCATTATAGCAGCATTCACCAACTTAAACAAGGAGATCGCCTATAAGAGTTACAGGAGATTCAGAAGTCATTTGGAGGTCGTAGTTGAAGCTGATGACGATTTTATTGAATAAATTCACTCTTTAATATTCCAAGATATTTTTGTGTAATTTTGGTAAATATAACTGTTAAAATAAGATGCCATTTTGTGTAATTAGACGACAATTTATCTATCGCACACACACACACGTGCTTAGCGGAACAAGTCGTATTAATTCTCAAAGTGACCGCTTGGCGGCGGTGGCGACCTTTTCAGTTGTAAACATAGACGGGTGTACAGTATATAAAGTGCGATACATTAGCGCGTGCGTGAGAAAGTAACCGTGAGAAATCTATTATTTTTGTTATTTTATTCATATATCTATATTAGGTATATATTTATTTCTGCCATATATACATGTTTATAGTATTTACATTGTGACCATAACTACTAGCAGTTACCATTGTTGTTTTATAACACAAAAATAATCCCTTCCTATCTACGGACAATCCATCCCCCTATTATTCCTTTGATGAGATAATTGTCTGTATATATATATATATATATATATATATATATATATATATATATATATATATATATATATATATATATAAGGCAGGATGTGTGTGTGTGTGTATGCGCGCGCGTGTGTGTGTGTGTAACGAATGCACGGCCGCAATTTTCGACGGATTTGCGCCAAAATTTACATGCACATGCTCCAAGTTAGCGGAAAGGCCAAGACCGACTTTACATTTCCCAACTCCCATCGATAGTGGAAATAATCGATTTTTTCATGCTTCTACGGCAATTTTCATGTTGTTTGCAGTCATTTTGTACTGGCCTGAGTGAGAGCCAATAGCTGGCTGCCACGAATAGGCAGGAAGATTCTATTGGCCAGCGTGAGAGCCAACAGTTGACTGACACGAATGTTAACTAGCATGCAAAAAAAAAATCAATAGCTGCATTCGTCACAAGTGGGAAAAAATTAAATCTGCATGACACTTTATTCCAATTGGCTCATTCGCTTGCTTAAACTCAACGTTGATTCTGATTCCGCAGAACTGGGTTGGGTGTGAAAAAGTATTTGTTGTTAACATTCTTTTTTCATTCGGTTTTTCCAGTTACGGGTCCTTTTTTTAAAGCTGATCGTTTTGTGTTCATTTTGTTTTGTTATTTTTTCGTAACAGATTTAATGTTTAGTATAGAGCTTAGAAAAAATTTGCAGTGTGAGATAGGCAAGAAGTAAGGCATGTAGCAACATCAGCACGGCAAAGAGCACTTCTTTAAAGGCAAGGAAGGGCAAAACTATTTTAAGTCAGATGATAGCGATTGCTGTATGAGTCTTACGATTTTTGAATCAAACACGGCAACGCCAGGCCATGCTGCACATATATATATATATATATATATATATATATATATATATATATATATATATTGTTGAATTCGTCACCGCGACACAAATGTCTGTTATACAGAGAAAGCTGTTTTACAAATCGGTGATTGTCGTCACGGACAAGACAATTGTCTTGGAATGAAATCGGGAATACAAAATTCGAAAAAAAACTCTTACTGCTGTTTGGTTGTTGTTGTTATGAGGCGTGGTTGAGGTCCTGACGCTTTATTCATTAAACTACTCACCCTGGACATTCAAAAGAAGCGGAATAAAGAAAGGTAGGAAGATATTAAAACGTTGCGTGATTATTAAACGTGACGGCTTAATTTTATTGGTCTAGGTACACCGAGGGACTCTCCTGTGAAAGTACAACGACTGTAAAGCTGATAAACTTATTGAATGAAACAAATGCATTGGGTTACGTTTTGCCTTTCCCTTGTGTCTGGTTTGTTCGACTTGCGTGTATTTGCGCACCAATAGGTATATTTTTTCATTTTATTGTAGCTTAGATGTAAACACACGCACACCCTATACGTCTATATATAATCTAATAAAGACTATATATATATATATATATATATATATATATATATATATATATATATATATATGTGTGTGTGTGTATGTGTGTGTGTATGTGTGTGTGTGTGTATATATTCATTGATGCCTTTAGCTATATCTATGCCATGCAAATTAGCCGCTGTAATTCAAACAAAAGGAGTGGTACAAATTATTAGGTAGCTATCACTAATATTTTAACAATTCTCTTCATATGTGCGTTTCACTTATTTATGGCAATAAGTTGATGAAAATTTGGTGCATGCGTGTGTGTGTGTTTGGATGTGTATGGGCGTCCTTATAGGCTAAAAAGTCACAATGTAAAATATACTGTATGTATATTTATGTATATATATATATATATATATATATATATATATATATATATATATATATATATATATATATATATATATATATATATATATATATATATATATATATATATATATATACACTTTTAAACAGTTTTTGTAAAATTTTACAATGGATAAGTTAATTGTTTAGGTAGTTTCAACATATTTATTAAAGTTATTGAATTTATTATAAAAACACTTGTCTGAAATTATTATGCAGAATTAACTAATCTTAGTTTAAGGTCTCTGAAATCTAATAAAAACTATTTTATTCATAATAAATGTTGGGACATGGGTGGCATGAATCTAACTGTAAAAAAGAAAACAATGTCCACATTGAAGTTATCAAAGGAGCTTTGCAGAGTGCATCAAACAATTAAGATGGATACTGAAAATGTAACTGAGTATAAAACTAGAAACAAAGGAAAGGGTTTTAAGAAACTGCCTCCTCTAGCGGAACGTAAACTAAAGTGAGTTATGGCGAAACAATCACTTTTTGCTTAGATCTTCGAATAGGCTTGAATTGAAAGAATCAAGGGGACAAAACTGTATAGAATATTTTCGCAAACTGAGATTTGTCAAGCAATTTCCTAGACAAACTCCTTTCAATAAAGCAAATATTTTAAAGCATGAAAATTGAACCAAGAAATACGTACAAAAAATCGACTTTTCTATATTTATTACACTTACGAATCTCATTTGACAAATGAACTGATCGATAGACCTGATAGATAGGCCAAAGGATCGATTTCATCCGATGAAAATGTGCTTGTGACTAAAAGGAAGCAGCAGTGTGAAAATATAAGATGGAATTCATGACTAAACGATTCTTGGACCATTCAAAGTCGATGAAACAGTTCAACTGAACAATGCTAGCTATTGTGATTTCATGGACAATACAATCTTTGAATGGCACAAATCTCAGCTCCACAGTTTCAAAGTAAAAGATGTATTTAATCCTAATAGTCTTTAATATGCATCTAACTTTACCCGTGAGCGTAAATGGTTTACAGGAAAGAAGGTACTGAACTAGCCACCATCATGTCTCGATCAGTATCCGATCTAAAAAATCTCTAGTCATTTGTGGAGATGAAATTATCTGAAGGAGGTTAACAATATGACAGCAAAGCAGACCTACGGGACGCAATTAAAATCACCATGTAAGAAAGTGAACCTTTTGAAATAAGAGATTAAACAAAATCAATGGGTAATAGACTGCTGGCAGTTATTAGGAAGGGCCACTCTATAAATATGTAAATGCTTCAAAACTTGTCGTATATGTTTGTTAGTTGTCCTATTATATATGTTGATCAATCGTAAATGATTTTATGATCTTGCTATTGAAGCAAAAAGTGTTTTCTGGTTTTGCATAATAACTGTTGCCATATATATATATATATATATATATATATATATATATATATATATGTGTGTGTGTGTGTGTGTGTGTGTGTGTGTGTGTGTGTGTGTGTGTGTTGAACCAGAAAATCGTAGTCTTGAGTCCTTGCATACATATTAAGAAATTCCTCTTAAGAATATATGAGGCTGTATAAAAATGTACATTTCAATTAATTCCCCACCGATCCTTTTATAATACCCTTGCTTTTATTCTCTTCCCCCTTTACTTCTTCTTCTTCTTCTTCTTCTTCTTCTTCTTCTTCTTCTTCTTCTTCTTCTTTTTTCTTTTCTTTCTTTTCTGTCTTTCTATTACACCCAACGTCGTGCGTTAATTTTATTTAAAAAAATCAATATAAAAAAATAAAACGGTAACAGGTCATTTGATAAATTTCGCCTACGGATACCGTAATGCTGAAACCAATGTAGCGGATACAATTGATCTTCTGATTTTTAAAGTATATATATATATATATATATATATATATATATATATATATATATATATATATATATATATATATATATATATATATATATATATATATATATATATATATATTATATATTTAATTAATTCATCGAGTCTGATAGAAACCTCTACAAAATGGCGGAACTCACGTGAGCGAGCGGCGCTTAGTTGAGTCTGATTTGTAATCTCTTCGTCACCCAGGCCCATTTGGAACAGTAGGTATGGTGTTCGCTTGACAACCTAACTGTCAGGGTTCGATACTCGGTAGTAGATGCGCACTGCTGATGAGTCCCAAATATAGGACGAAACGGCCGTCCAGTGCTTCCTGCATTCTGTAGAGGTTTCTATCAGACTCGATGAATTAATTAAATATCATTATCAAATCATCCTAATAATTAATATATGTGTATATTTGCGTGTCTGTATGATTACGTATATATTTTTACTATATACATTATATTAGTATGTTCACGTGTTCGAGTTGCTATTCCTGTTTTTTTTTAAATTTTATTTTCTATTACAGTGATATAAATAACAACTGGTGTAATTTGAGAAGTCCACCTCAAGAAAATATGCGCCTCCAGCAAAAATCGAACACCTACCCTTTTTTTTTTCTATCAGAGAAACATCTTTCTTAGCCGAAGCTTCCTGCCACCATTTTGGACACTAACTGTATCAGCAAATTTGTTAATTATCTATATCAGGAAAGCACATCTCTCTTTGCTATATTTCAGAATTTATCTATGCTAACGTTATTCTCTTATCCGAAACGTAAATAACAGTGGATTTTGAAAGGCACTTTTATCCGATATTATTTCTACTTAATATAAATGTTATTTTTAATGGATACAAGGTGTTGAAGTTGCTATCAAACAAAAAATTCTACACACGAATTCTACAGTATGCCTGATAATGATTGACTCCTTCTACCGTTCTCTTACTGCTGTCAAGCTTGGCTCTGATATGCCTTTATTCTTTCATACATATGTTATTCCACTTTTCACTCACTACTATTTTTACTTTATTAAAAATTTGTTCGTGACTCCACTTTTCACGACATACAATATAAGTCATACCTGATTTCATTATCCCTCTTCTGAATGTGATCAGATTTTTTTCTTCAGTATTCTCGGTGTGGATCTATTTTCTCTTGCCAATATTTATCATTTTCACAAATGACTTGTCAAGCAAGGATAGAACAAGTCATAAAAACTGATCGCTGCTTGTTTCCTTAAATATTGGTGAAAATATTGACCTCAGTTGTAAGCGTTTTAAACATTATACTAATGGAATACGGAGAGAATGTGGATTGTTTGCTACATTTTGTGCAGTATGGCGGCTACTAGCCGGCAAGGTTTAACCTGGCGCAACCAAGGAATGTAGTGCGTACAAGGACTTTCCAGGATTGTAGCAACAGAGCGGTGAGAGACTCACCACATCCCGCCTGTGAGAGAGATGTTGGAGGATGGTAAAATAATTCTTCTCCAACAAGGACTCAGAGACGCTTTAGAACTTTATTCGAAATTGTTTGGTTATATGTAATGTTTTAATAATGTAACCTTTGATTTATATTATACTTGTAACTAAAAGTAAGTCTTCATGTTTAGCGAAATACAATCTTTATCATATATATATATATATATATATATATATATATATATATATGATAAGAATACAGTTTTAAAATATGCTATATTTTGGGGTCGAAGTGCTCACTATCAGGGATAAAACTTATGTAAAAATAAAAATGAAAAAAATGCCTATATATATATATATATATGTGTGTGTGTGTGTGTGTGTGTGTGTTTGTATGTATGTATGTAAACCAATTGTAACAGAAAAATTGTCCAAATCGTGTAAAAACATAATTATCCATCACACAAAATTTTTAGTATCTACCAGGTTTTCAGATAAAACGTTTAGCCATCTTGACACCATAAGAATCAATGAAAACCTCTTTGAGTTATTCAGCTAAAAAAAGAGTAGGTTAAAAATGTTTTATGTCTGCCTCATTGTCTTCCCAACTGAGCAATGGTGAGAGGAAAAAATCATTCAGGCCTTCATAATGCTACCAAAATTCATACACTGGCTCCCATCTTCAAAGGGAACGGTGAATAAGATTTAAAAGGCGTGAACAGTAGAGAGGAAAACTAGATCAGGTGATCACAACAAGATGAGGGATTATCGTTCCCTCTTAACGCTAAAGAGATAAATTAGAATAGATCCAACTCAATTCATAAGACATTTGGCCCGTAAGATAGCTGTTTCAGCTATGACAATCCAAAAAACAGTGAAAAAATACTTGAAAACTTTTAAACTTTTGAGGCACCTTGTTACTCCGGGACAGGATGCTAGAAAGTTAGAGAGGGCGATGATCATCTTGAATAAGTTGAAAAATGATCCTGGAATAATATATATATATATATATATATATATATATATATATATATATATATATTTATTTCAATCCTCACGAGGTTCCGATCCTTAGCTATGATTAATTAATGATAAACATGTCCTTTTCGTTTTTCGATTATGATCGAATTCATCACGATTCTTCTGTTAAGCTTAGAGTGTAATTGTACAATCTTATTGCTCAAAGTAAAGTCCATTAGTGCAATACGATGAATTCAAATAAGATATTCTTTTAATCATTTCTAAGATACAACGGTTCAAAACTTAATCTAACAATTGGATAATTTTGCTGTTTTACACAATTTGAACAATTTTGCTGTTACACCTGGTATCTATGTTAATGTAAATTATGACTCTTGGTGTGGTGTATAGCGGTAAAGGTAACCATAATGATGAAAACAAATATTTATTTATCAAAGTAATATCTTTCCTTTGCAATTTGCTTAATTCATTTTTGATGACTGTGTATACGTGAGTATACTTTTTATCTTTACTTTTTACTCAGGGGTTGCACTATATATAGGTAATTATTTTGAAGAGATTTACATTGATGTATTTTACCCTAGCTGGTTAGGCAAGAACGAAAACAAAAGTAAGGTATCTAAATCTGATATTTTACGTTAAAATGTTTTTCTCCCCATTTTGGAGTAGCTTTGTATAAAAAAGAATTCAGACCATTTATTTGTTATAAAGTAAGTCCAGGATGATGCCCAATACTGTAATACTACGGTTGGCCTCCGAGCGTTCCTCAGAAGCTGGGGTCGCAATATACCCGAAAGGTTTGAAAAAGTCATGTTTTTTACAAAACATTAAGGTGCCGCTCTATACATAAACTAAGCTTATATATGTGTATGTACGGTATTCCTCGCTCCCTGGGTATATACGGTATTCATCGCTTCCTGAGTATATACGGTATTCCTCGCTTCCTGGGCATATACGGTATTCCTCGTTTCCTGTGTATATACGGTATTCCTCGCTTCCTGGGTATATACGGTATTCCGCGCTTCCTGGGTATATACGTTATTCCGCGCTTCCTGGGTATATACGGTATTCCCCGCTTCCTGAGTATATACGGTATTCCTTGCTTCTTGAGTATATACGGTATTTGTCGCTTCCTGGGTACATACGGTATTCCTCGCTTCCTGAGTATATACGGTATTCCTTGCTTCCTGAGTATATACGGTATTCCTTGCTTCCTGAGTATATACGGTATTTGTCGCTTCCTGGGTACATACGGTATTCCTCGCTTCCTGAGTATATACGGTATTCCTTGCTTCCTGAGTATATACGGTATTCCTCGCTTCCTGATTATATACGGTATTTGTCGCTTCCTGGGTACATACGGTATCCCTCGCTTCCTGGGTATATGCGTTATTCCTCGCTTCCTGGGTATATACGGTATTCCCCGCTTCCTGAGTATATACGGTATTCCTTGCTTCTTGAGTATATACGGTATTCCTCGCTTCCTGAGTATATACGGTATTCCTTGCTTCCTGAGTATATACGGTATTCCTTGCTTCCTGAGTATATACGGTATTTGTCGCTTCCTGGGTACATACGGTATTCCTCGCTTCCTGAGTATATACGGTATTCCTTGCTTCCTGAGTATATACGGTATTCCTCGCTTCCTGATTATATACGGTATTTGTCGCTTCCTGGGTACATACGGTATCCCTCGCTTCCTGAGTATATACGGTATTCCTTGCTTCCTGGGTATATACGGTATTCCTCGTTTCCTTGGTATATACGGTATTCGTCGCTTACTGAGTATATACGGTATTTGTCGCTTCCTGGGTACATACGGTATTTCTCGTTTCCTGAGTATATACGGTATTCCTCGTTTCCTGCGTATTTACGGTATTCATGGTTTCCTGAGTATATACGGTATTCCTCGTTGTCTGAGTATATATACAAATGAACTCACCCAGTATATACATATACTACTGCAAGAGCGAGACGAGAGTAAGACAGAGCGAGACCGTTGAGTCGAGTCCAGAGTGACAGAGTAAAAGGTTGTAGGTAACCGGAAGAGTGAGGGTGAGGTAACAGCGTTGTTGGAGTCACAGTGAGCGAGCACGTAGACTCAGTAAGAAGTCATACAGCGATACTTCAATACCAAAGACCGTATATCTATTTTGCTACTAACCCGTATTCCTGGAACTACTAACCTGCTTTACCAGTTTGTATTATTACGTTAGTTATTCATATATTCATTCCTGGCCTTTGTTATTTATTGGTACCGGATTTCAACCCGGAATCCACAACAAAAAAGGATCTCCAATTAATGGTTAAATGGGTCAAGATATGACGTATATTTCAGTGCCTAAAAATGTTTTTATTTAGTCACCACAGAGAACCTTTTCTGTCTGCCATCAGCGTGGTTGATGCTTAACACCAGCAGAGCAACATTCTACGCCTTCTTTGCCTGTCGTTTTCTATTGACTTGAATTTGAGCAATAATATCTAATTGTTAAGTTTACTGCAAGGAAAGTTGGTTTACTGTCTGAATTCATCATTCATATTTATAAATCTAACATTCGTCCATGCATTGAATACTTTTTCCATATCTGCTTTGTCGCTCCTGTTGTGCAGCTCTAGATTCTTGACAAAATTCAATGATGGGTATGTAATATAATCGATCCTGACATGACATTTCGCCGACATGACCTAGCTTCCCTATGATTTGTCTATAAATATTTTCAATGGCAACTACTGTGAGGAGCTTTATTTCCCCTGGTGCTCAGAATTCATGAATTTAAGCGTGCTACTAGATTGGCTAGTAGGACTCACAGTTTTACTGTCGATCTAGCTAGATGCAACCGTCACTTCTACTCTAAGAGTTTCTTTTCTCAAATTTCCCACCCATGTAACTCCTTTTCAATTTCTTGATTTCATGGTATCTAAAATCATAAAAAATTTAAATGCAACATCAATCGTTATCTTTTTTGTATTCATTTTACCCAGTTTTTCCCCTTCCTCAATCCTCCTCATTCTCTGTCTTGTCATTCACTTTCATTTTAAGTACACCCCCCACCCCCGGCCTGCGTTTTAGAGGCACTGTTGCCTTGCGTGCAGTAAAACGGTTATAAAAAAAAGCGCTTTGAATGATTTAAGCACAGATGAGAGTTTCGTGATAAGCGTTGCTAAAGAAAGAAATCTATTTTTTCTTTCAGTGTTATTCTTCTTCTTTCTGTCAGACGATAACGCCATAAGCTCTTTCTTGAGAAACAGGGAACACTTAATAGATAAAATATGAAAACATTTCCTATTGAACATTTTATAGTCAAAGACTTGCACCTCATGGCTTTAGACTGGTGGATAGCTATGACGAAAGCAAGACTACAATGAGAACAAAAGAGCATATCACTTTTTACGCCTGTCATATTGTATCTGCAGTTATTATTACCATCCGATTTTTAGGACACCTATAGTTTCCCATAAAGTGAAATAGTTGGTGTCGCCTCAGTTAACACAAGAAAAACAAATTTTATTGCAACAAACAGAACAAGACCTGGCCTTTTGTGGTTCCGAATGTTAAATTTCTGGAATGTTTATATATATATATATATATATATATATATATATATATATATATATATATATATATTGTTTGTTTGTGTGTGTGTGTGTTTTAAATTGAAATTGAAACTCAAAATGTGCTTTGTAAGAGATGCTAAGTTTCGGTTTAAAATCTTGAATAGCAACTAAATAAAATGGCGGAAAGTAGGAATTCGTTCCGAACAGAATAGGCGATGTATTATAATATTATGATGAAACTAATTTACAAGACTCAGACAATAAAAATAAAATATATCAGAAAAAAAAAAATCAAAACTTTATGCTAAATTAAGCGTCAAAAATGATTGACGTGGGCGTCCTTTGGATAGTTTCATTTAAGTGTTTCCCATATACTGTTCAACTGTTGGTTGATTCATAAACTGCTAAGTTACGGTTGAAACTATGGGCTTTCCTATGAGGATCGAACTTACTATTCAATAGTAATGGTCTATCAAACTAACCTGTCTACACATTATCCTAGCTAAGCATGGGAGTTGCTAGACCATTCACAGCCGAGTTAGATCATTAGCATTTCAAAATATATCGTTTTCCCTGGGGAATAAACAAATGTCTTCCAAATTAACAATAAAAGATATTTGCTAATTTTAGATGTGATTCTGAAACAATATCATTAGTTTAGGTTTTATGAATTTCATTTTCCCTACTTCGGCTTCCATGTATATTACCAACGATTTTCACTTTTCTAAAATTACACACAAAATTTTAATTTGGCATCGCCCTTTCACTGTTCCCTATTCCACAATTACACTAGATTTTCAGTCTTTCATTATCAATATTTTTACCTTGAATTCACCAATCGAAATAATGTAACTGTTTTTCTAAGCATATATATATATATATATATATATATATATATATATATATATATATATGAGGTCTGATCAAAAAGTATAGGGAATGTTACTATGGTAACGTAGCTAAAGAATGCAAAGTGACCTTGAAGTTTGTTATGCATACACACTAAGTTACAACGCTCTCGCTAAGTTTCGTTATTTATAACAGTGCTTCGAAGGAAAGTGTGTAGAGTGTGGTCGTCTTACAGAGGTTCCACCAGTGATTCCCAAGTTCGAAAACTGCCATAATCTAAGAGAATGCGACGAGGCAGCTGCGCGCTATCCCCAAAAAGGACTTCCAGGAATTTTTCCATCAATCGAAACGATTGAACTAAGTGAGTGGCTTCGAAGGAGATTAAATGCAAAATTAATATATGTAGTAGTTTTTTATAGCACGAGTCTCGATACTTTTCGATCAGATCGTATATATATATATATATATATATTTATATATATATATATATATATATATATTAAGAGGGTTAGGATTTGTATGTGTATTGAATTTGTCCATCGTTTTATTCCAAACTGTGGATTACTTTCTGCAAGCCTAGCTACTGGAGATGAAAACATATCCAAAACTATAGCCTTTCTTATTTTAAATTGTGAAATTAATGTCTATTAGGATGGATATTGAAGGTCCTATTAAAGAAAATGTGGCTCCAAATGGAACTGAACTTATATTGCATTTTTCCATCAAGGAACACAGTCTCAAGGCCAGTAGATAGTTGCTCCACTACTTAAACAAGCACAGGAATATCTACTCCAACACCTCCCCATTATATATAACATTTCAAGAAATATTCTCGGATTTTAAAAAAATCTATTATTTGCTCCTATACAAGATGATGATTTCGGCTTATGAGGATTCGACAACTTCATTCATTTGTCGTATGTGACCCTTCAGTCCCGTGAGTGACTTGCATACAAGTCCATATATTGTACAACAACAAAGATCTTGGGACGTAGCCACAGATATATTTGCTGACAATTTTTGCCGTTTTCTTTCGACACTTATTTCCTGAGTATGACAATAAACTACACCCGGTGGCAAGGACTCTGTTCGGGAAATTGTAGGTTTTCAGGAGCGTGGAAAGACCTCTTAAATGGTGTTGTCTCCTGGACCACTATGACCCAGTGTTGTAGCACCTGTTAGGGTCCAGTTATAGAAAAATAGTGAAACCTCAAACAATGTAAATATATTTGTATATGTGTATATACATATATGTATGCGTATATATATATATATATATATATATATATATATATATATATATATATATACACGTATGCATTATTTGAGTATATTTTATAAGTGTGGGAGTCTGAACTGACCTGAGCAAGAAAATCACGGCTGCTCGCAAGCCACTTCCCTCAATGGTTAAGAATGAAAACTCATAGCATCAAAACATTGGTTCCTTAAGGTAGGGCTGTTACTGATACAGACAGTGTGGACATAGGAATCAACACTACATGATGATTGTCAACTTCATGCATTAATATAATCTTGAAAGTAGAAGATACTGTCAGGGATTATTATTCATGTAAGCGAACGATGGATTCCTAACACCTTGTTTTTAAATATATATATATAAAATCATATGTGCAGTTCGATCCTTAGACTAACATAAAGCTTTGACATCAGATCTTGAAATAATTGTAACATGCTCGACTCGCGGCTTGTTAAAATGTAGTGAAATCGGTGACTTTTTGCTTTTTTTGTTATATTTTTTCATCAGTGTCATCATTTTTCTTTACCTTATCGTTTATTTATTTTACATTCCCATAATCTTTCTTACTTCTTTCCGTCCGTCCTTCCTTCCTTCCTTCCGTCCGTCCGTCCTTCCTTCCGTCCGTCCGTCCGTCCGTCCTTCCTTCCTTCCTTCCTTCCTTCCTTCCGTCCGTCCGTCCGTCCGTCCGTCCTTCCTTCCTTCCTTCCTTCCTTCCTTCCTTCCTTCCTTCCTTCCTTCCGTCCGTCCTTCCTTCCTTTCTTCCGTCCGTCCGTCCTTCCTTCCTTCCTCCTTCCGTCCAAATCCGTCCGTCCGTCCGTCCGTCCTTCCTTCCTTCCTTCCTTCCTTCCTTCCGTCCGTCCGTCCTTCCTTCCTTCCTTCCTTCCGTCCATCCTTCCTTCCTTCCTTCCTTTCTTCCTTCCCTCCTTCCGTCCGTCCGTCCGTCCGTCCTTCCTTCCGTCCATCCGTCCGTCCTTCCTTCCTTCCGTCCGTCCTCCTTCCTTCCTTCCTTCCGTCCGTCCGTCCATCCGTCCGTCCTTCCTTCCTTCCGTCCCTTCCTTCCTTCCTTCCGTCCGTCCGTCCGTCCGTCCGTCCGTCCTTCCTTCCTCTTCCTTCCTTCCTTCCTTCCTTCCTTCCGTCCGTCCGTCCGTCCGTCCGTCCGTCCTTCCTTCCTTCCTTCCTCCTTCCTTCCTTCCTTCCGTCCTTCCTTCCTTCCTTCCTTCCGTCCGTCCGTCCGTCCCGTCCGTTTTTCCTTCCTTCCCCGTCCTTCCTTCCGTCCATCCGTCCGTCCTTCCTTCCGTCCGTCCATCCGTCCTTCCTTCCTTCCGTCCGTCCGTCCGTCCTTCCTTCCTTCCTTCCCTTCCTTCCTTCCTTCCTTCCGTCCGTGTCCGTCCGTCCGTCCGTCCTTCCTTCCTTCTTCCGTCCGTCCTTCCTTTCCGTCCATCCGTCCGTCCTTCCTTCCGTCCATCCGTCCTTCCTTCCTTTTCTTTCCGTCCGTCCGTCCGTCCGTCCGTCCTTCCTTCCAGTCCGTCCTTCCTTCCGTCCATCCGTCCTTCCTTCCGTCCATCCATCCGTCCTTCCCTTCCTTCCTTCCGTCCGTCCTTCCGTCTGTCTGTCCGTCCGTCCGTCCGTCCGTCCTTCCTTCCCTTCCTTCCTTCCTTCCTTCCTTCCTTCCTTCCGTCCGTCCGTCCGTCCGTCCTTCCTTCCTTCCTTCCTTCTTCCTTCTTCCTTCCATTTCCTTCCTTCCTTCCTTCCTTCCGTCCGTCCATCCGTCCGTCCTTCCTTCCTTCCTTCTTTCCGTCCGTGTCCTTCCTTCCGTCCATCCGTCCGTCCTTCGTCCGTCCGTCCGTCCTTCCTTCTTCTCCTTCCTTCCGTCCGTCCGTCCTTCCTTCCTTCCATCCGTCCGTCCGTCCGTCCGTCCTTCCGTCCTTCCTTCCTTCCTTCCTTCCATCCGTCCTTCCTTCCGTCCATCCGTTCCTTCCTTCCTTCCGTCCGTCCGTCCGTCCGTCCTTCCCTTCCTTCCTTCCGTCCGTCCGTCCGTCCGTCCGTCCGTCCGTCCTTCCTTCCTTCCTTCCTTCCGTCCATCCGTCCGTCCGTCCTTCCTTCTTTCTGTCCGTCCGTCCGTCCTTCCCTTCTTCCGTCCGTCCTTCCTTCCGTCCATCCGTCCTTCCTTCCTTCCTTCCTTCCGTCCGTTCCTTCCCTTCCTTCCGTCCGTTCCTTCCTTCCTTCCTTCCTTCCGTCCGTCCTTCCTTCTTCCTTCTTCCTTCCGTCCGTCCGTCCGTCCTTCCTTCCTTCCTTCCTTCCGTCCGTCCGTCCGTCCTTCCTTCCTTCCTTCCTTCCTTCCTTCCGTCCGTCCTTCCTTCTGTTCTTCCTTCCTTCCTTCCTTCCTTCCTTCCTTCCTTCCGTCCGTCCGTCCGTCCTTCCTTCCGTCCATCATCCGTCCTTCCTTCCTTCCTTCCTTCCTTCCTTCCTTCCGTCCGTCCGTCCGTCCGTCCGTCCGTCCTCCTTCCTTCCTTCCTTCCTTCCTTCCTTCCTTCCTTCCGTCCGTCCGTCCGTCCGTCCGTCCGTCCGTCCTTCCTTCCTTCCTTCCTTCCTTCCTTCCTTCCGTCCGTCCGTCCGTCCGTCCTTCCTTCCTTCTTTCCGTCCGTCCTTCCTTCCGTCCATCCGTCCGTCCTTCCTTCCGTCCATCCGTCCGTCCTTCCTTCCGTCCGTCCGTCCGTCCGTCCGTCCTTCCTTCCTTCCTTCCTTTCTTTATTTCTTTATTTTGCTTCTCTTCTCTGTTCGTTTCGTTCTTCTTTTAGATTCTTCATTTCCTTCTCCATTCTTGCATTTTTCTCTTCTTTCTTCAGGTTTTCTTCCTTTGTTCTTTCTTTTCTTTACTTTCTCCCATTTTTTTTCTTCTTTCATCTATTTCATTTTCTTTCATTCTTTCTTTCTGTTTTTTTTTCTTTCTTTCTTAGGTTCTTTCTTTTCTTTACTATCTTTCATTTTCCTCTTCTTTTATTTATTTTTTCTTTTCTTTCTTTATTTTCTTTCTTCTCTTCTATTTCCCTATTTGCTCACTTATTTACTTTTCTATTTTTTCGCTCTCACTTTCAGAACAAACCCTAACCCTAATCTCGTTATATACCTTGTAAAATTCAATTCAGCCATTTTTTTTTCTTATCGTTTATTTTCGCCCACAAGTACGTTGTATCCCTTCATTCCAATTTAAATACCTGATTACCTGTCTGCGTGCAAGCCTACCAACATGACATACCACCTCGGATTCATCCTCACCAATCTTAAGTTTTCGTAATTCCCCGCCTCAGGGTACCTACGAGTATTAGGGACCCAGACATGAATCTCTGTACGCAAGGACATGTATGGCATTAAAGATGACAGTCACCCTCACCCTCACTCCAAACCAAATGCTTTTCGGCTTTGTTGCATCCAAGTTAGGCCTGATGCCCTTCTCCTTTCATTGACAAAACTATTTCTTGCATTCAAGATTTATCTGCTGCTTACTTTCATTTCGCGATCTTTTTTTTAAATCGCCTTAACGTCTTTTGTCTGCGTCACTTATCTTTGTTGTATTTCTGGCTAATTACTTTCGGTCTCCATCTTGTTGCTTTTCTCTCGAAAATTATTCCTACCCCCGAGGACGATGTTTTTATTTTCTTAATGTCTGTTCCTTAAATTGTTGATTTGTTAGTTTGCTTGCTTTTTCTTTCTCCTCTCTGTTTTGATGAATATAATTATTTTTTAATTCTTGCCTTTATTGCTTTCTCTCCTGTTTTTTTTTCTTTCTCTACATTTTCAGTCATTACAATAAACTTTCTTTCTTTCTTTATTTCTTCTTTCTTTCTTTACTCTTTCCTTCCTTCCTTTCTTTCTTTACTTTTTTCCTTTCCTTTTTTTCTTATATTTCTGTCTTTCATTCATTAACTTTGTTTTCTTTCTTTCCTTATTTCTTTACTCATAATCTTTCTTTCTTTCTTTCTTTCTTTCTCCTAATTAAATATTTCTTTGTATTCTTTATTCATTAACCACTTCTTTTCGTTTTCACTTACACTTTAATCTTTATGCATTATGTTATCTATTATCTATTTCTCTCAATCGTATTAGATTGAATTCTGGACGGAATCACTTTTTCCTTTATCTCTCTATCTCTCTCTCTCTCTCTCTCCCTCTCTCTCTCTCTCTATATATATATATATATTATACAGCAAAAAATACACCGTTACTTCATGCGGGTATAGTCTATTTCAGACTAGCACAAACATATTACAGACCTTCAGTGAATGTTTCGGAATAGGAGTTTTGAATTTAGTTTACATAGCAGTCGGTGAGAACGTTTTGATAAGGAGTCTGACTATATATATATATATATATATATAATCGACTCTCCCGTCGCGTTCGACGTATGAGGGTCAGGCCGATAAGTCCCCAGGAAACCGACATCCCGACACCGGCACATGAGATTTGATTATAGTGGTGAAGGCCTCGTGCAGGACCAGCCACACTTTTTGGAGGGACGAATACAGAAACCTGGTGCACCGAATGCATGCCGCAGGTTTTGAATTCAGAGTTGTCCTTCTCCTAGACCAGTTGCCATCCAAGGCTATAGAACCCAGTCTGTCCTGCTATTTTACCCATAGCTGGAGGGAGATGAAGAGGATACATACCTTTCCTAAGGGTATTAGCACGTAAGTGAATGTAATGGATTCGACTGGAATTCGAACTCGGCTCTGCGATTCCTCAATCCAAGCCGCTATCCACTGCTCCACCGTGCCTCCTATATGTATGTATGTATGTATGTATGTATGTATGTATGTATGTATGTATGTATGTATGTATGTATGTATGTATGTATGTATGTATGTGTTTTGAACAATAAAAAATATTGAAAAATTTAAAAATAAAAAAGAAATGGGTTGTATATTATTATTTTTGTTTTATTATTTCAATAATGTTATAAATGTTATAAGATTTTATTCAGTTGTTCCAATGTTCTCATAATTATACGTTTCCTCTGGTGGGGGCTTAAGATAATTGAAGGTTTTAATATAAAACAGATTAAACTACGTTTCAATCTTATCCTATATAAAAACGGTAGTAACATGTTCTCTCTTAGATCTTAAGTGGAAAATGTATGAATGCATCTTTCTCTACCTCAGTTACAGGTAAATAGCCTGTTAAACAGGCTGGCAACCGATCAAGGAGAAGGAAAGCTCTAAATTCAAAACCTGAACAAGTTCACTGGAGACATTGTGTCACAGTATGTGCACCAGTTCGCGGTATTCGGCTCATCAAAAAAGTGCGGTTTCCAGATGTGTCCACAACTATCATCAATCAAATCATAAATTCCTGTAGTCTCGCTGTTCGAATCTAAGAACTGAACTGCTACATATGACCGGACAATAGAATAATAGATAATGGCTTGAGTAAGCCGAAAGCTTAGATTATATTAAAAAATAATGGATAAATATTGTGAATTTCTTTTTTCGGTTAATGATAATGTTATCAAACTTATCAGAAGATACGAAAAAATTTTACATAAAATAAATAGACAACACTTGTCTATATTATTTAATGAAACGTGTATAAATGAAAAATATGCTGCCTAAATACACACAATTTAAATAAATATATATATATATATATATATATATATATATATATATATATATATATATATATATATATATATATATATATATATATATATATATATATATATATATATATATATATATGTATATATATAATATAAAGAAAAGAACAGTAAAGATATATAATCCGGTGTTCTTATAGATATTTTATTTTTTACAAAAAAGTGCTCAATGTAACTTTACAGAGCATTATATATATATGTGTGTGTGTGTCTGTGTGTGTGTGCCTGTGTGCGTGTGTGTGCGTGTGTGTGCGTGTGCATTTTATTTATTTAGATTTATTTTCACCAATTAATTTTATTTATTTACATTTAATTCATCCCAATTGAAACAATGTAACAGTCAGTCTGTTATTAGTCAGGACTAGAATATTGCTTTTGCCTGGAATTCAGAGTGACAACATATATATATATATATATATATATATATATATATATATATATATATATATAAAAGAGAAATAACAGTTCTTTCTTTTTATTTTTAAAAAGTGTTCGGTACAAAGTAGAGCATGATATAATATTATTTAAAAATATTTTGGGAAAAATATTTTTAAACAATATTATATATATATATATATATATATATATATATATATATATATATATATGTGTGTGTGTGTGTGTGTGTGTGTGTGTGTGTGTGTGTGTGTGTGTGTGTACCGATTGGTGAGAATAGGAAAAGAAAAGAAAGAAAATATACACGGAGAGTGTATGGAAAGTGAGCTGTTACATTTATTCACGTCTTACACACATCTTCATTTATGCATAATGAACCTATGTTTGTCCAAGAATCTGGTTCTCTTTAGAGGCACGGTGGAGTAATGAATAGCGGCTCGGATTGAGGAATAGGCGAGCCGAGTTCGAATCCATTACATTCACTTGCTAATACTCTTGGGAGAATACCCTTCATGTCCCCCAGGTAAATAGCAGGACAGTCCGGATTCTATAGCCTTGGATGGCAACTGGTCTACCGCAGAAAGAAATGGCAACCTACTGCGTGAAAAAATCTGCCTTGTCATTCATGTATCGAAAAATACATGACTGCCTAAGCGTGTATTACGCATGGCACATAACTGATTGACTGATTTTAATTGACTGATAGCATCAGCAATCAACAACTGATAAAATTTCAAATCACTTTTAATATTTTAATCGTATTTTGCAAAAAATGGCGATAAAACCTTTTGCATTGACTTTATATATGACAAATCAGACTAAGAATTGTGTATTGCTGCTCTATCTGGTCTGGTGCTCACTATCCAGCCTGGAGTTCAAAATCCTGTTCGCATTTTGTTAATTATTCTCCACACTGCAACCCTTATGCTGCAAAAGAAAAGTCGTCAAAATTTCACTATGAGTACGGGTTGGCAGTTTTCGGATTGTTGCATCCCGACTGGTAGTAAGAAGCCCAATCTCTTAGGTAACGCTTAAAGAATCTGCTCTGATAAACAGTCGCATGACATCGCCGTTTTTGCAGTCTCGTGCAGCATATCCTTGTTATCCTTGCAAGCACTTCCGGTGAACAACCATGAAGACAGACTGCGCTGAAGTTTGTGCCAATTTTCAGCCATCACATGTTGCTTGTGACGACCGGCAATTACTATTAAACCAGATTAAAAAACACCTAGACACCATAATCTTTTTTCTCCAATATTCGTACTATTACTACCAATTTCTTCAATGAAGAATCGTTTCACTTGGAATATTCTCCAGACATCCTCGCTCTCTGTGAAACTAACCTAAACTCTTCAATATCTTCCACTGAATTCTCTGTTCCTGGCTATCTTCCTCTCTTTCGAAAGGACTAGTGTCCACGTGCATGATCTTTGGATTTTTCTTGTATGTGATTCCTACTTTCACTATTAAGTTATCTCTTCTTCCTTTATCGTTCTCCTTCCCCACTGAACTGTTGCTTGCTAGATAGAATTTATGATAGTAATATAAATAAAGCCTTCTCTCTCTACATACCTCTGTAAATATCTTTGTGCTTAGCAACACCAATTCCCATCATTCATGACTCTAATGCTACAGATCTACTCACCTTTCCAATTTCTATCTGCCCTGACACCTACAATCTTCAGAGATTTAAATGCAACGCCAATGGCCAGCTTCTGTCATCCTGACTCCTGTTCATTTATTCTTCTTTCTCCTCCCTAGAGTCTTCTCATCCTCTTTCACTTCCAGTAACCCCTTGCGTGCTAGAGGCATTATTGCTTTGCTTAAGGTGAAATGATTGAAAAATATTACTATTACTATGATTGGACGAGTTATAGCGGTTAGTGCCACTAGCTCGGACATTCACAG